TTTCTCTCTGAGCTTTTTCTTTTTAATCCAGGGTTTTATTTGCCCATATACATTTTTATTCCTGTTCATTGTTTTCTATTCCATTACTATTTTACCTTCTTGTTATTTTATTCATATCATTTCATTTATTTCTGATCGTATAATTTATTTCTGGTGTGCATTCTTGCAAATTCATTTACTATGTAAAGAGCTCTTTGAATTGTCGATATACATGAAATGAGTTATATAAATAAAGTTGCCTAACTTTCAAGGTTTATTTTTTTTTAATGTATAATTTTGTGTTACAGATTAATACTATTTTATGAATTAGTAATATCGCCTTTTTTATTGCAGTGACCGCTAAAGGCATGAAATTGGGCAGAAATGTGGTTTTTTTTTTATTGATGCATTTTTTGAAATTAAAATACAGTATTACTACATCGTATTCATTTTTTCGGGGTTTAGCGAAATACTAATACCTACGTTGTTTTTTTTTTTCCTTTTAACATGTCCCGGCAATGTCACCAGGGTCGGCCCTAGAACTGGAAATTGGGGGGAGGGGCACAGACACATCCCTTTTTTAAGCAATAATTAGCTAGTCCTGACTAGTAGTCAAGCGTTTTCCTTATTGACACGTTTTCCAATTATAGTAATGATCCATTGGTAATTGAATACTCGGCGTCTTTCTCCGTGCGATCGAACAACGACGAAATAATGGGCTGAATTCAGTAGAGGAAAATAATTTATAAACAGGTCTATGCTTTATGAGAGACAAATTGTTCTGGAACTTCTGCGCTACTTTATCGGCACATCAGGCGATCTAACCTGCGCTTCATGATTGTTAAAATCGTTGAAATAAAAGCATTTGAAACGCCTTTGTGCAATTTGTAATAACGCAGTTTTAAATGCACCGAAGTGCGCGTCCAAATGAATGATAGTCGCCTTACTTTAACGGGGGGAGCTAGCGATGCCTGATAGTGTGGAGTGTTTTCGGAATGAATATATTGTTAATTTAGAAAATGATTGAGCCCACGTCAGGAATAATAATTGTTTTAAAGGGAGGTGTCTGTGCTTACTGATAAGTTATTAATATTTAAATTTTGAACAGAAGAAAATTTTACTCAGTCAATTATCTTAGGTCGTTATAGAACTACTGTTTACCGTAATGAGACATTTTTTGCATGAAAACCTGCATTTTTAAATTAAGCAAGTATCCTGTATCATAAATACGTGGCTGCCATATGTAACAAATAATACAGCTTAAAATTGTTTGAAAATTTGTTGAGTTGTGATGATAAAAATCATTGATTAACCTCTGCCTCCACTGACTCATGCCGTAAGTACGCACGGCTTCCACCGACACAAGATTGCGCCCGCGTAGACCCATCGTTCCAATGGACAGAAGCAGCGAAGCGCGGCATCTAGGTGTATTTATCTATGGTCTCGAAGGGCTGCCCAGAGGAATATTTCAACGACTACCCCTTGCAACTCCGTTTCAAGGGATGAAGCTAGGGGTAGGGGTTGGGGGAGGGCTGAAAATAAGAATTGTGATTGGGCCTTTCTTTTTCATATGGGGCTACAACAATAACAATATCTGGCACCTGTATCTAGAGAACACACTGGAGGCACAAGGTAACAAGATAACATTGCTTGTATCTTTTAATGCAAAGTCACAATTTGAAGGAAGAACATATGGGGTGTGCTACTGTACTGTGCTACAATCATATCCATGGGTTGTCGTGATGCCTCTTTTTACTGTAATCAAATGAAAATTGAGGGAAACTTCACTGATTTTCAACCAGCTTTGTGCATTACAATGTGGGCAGTACATGCAAATGAAGCATCTGCTGGCTCTACGGCTGTTGTTTGATGTACTTCCACATTTTTTGCGAAGGCAGCCTCCATGAACAGTCGGACTGAATGAGGGGCAGCTTCTCAGCACTCCAAAAACAATAGTAGCGATAGTGTTTTGTTACTAACACGGCAACTTTACAGCGTGAAAACATACAATACACGCCTTTTTTGAGAATTGTAGATGACAAGCCTAGAACATACACTACCTGCCCTAGTTTATTACCTGGCGGTGCAATAAGAGTTTAGCCATACATTAGTAGATCTGGCTGGCGGTTCGGGAGGTTTACACTTAAGCGACCCCAGCCAAACTCATTTTAGTCCTAAAAAACCAAGCTAAAAAGCGAAACAGGGTTATGTTGGCGTGATGCAGAAGTACAATTCTCCACAATTGCACTGAGATTCCAACGTCTTTTCATCCAAGTCTTCAACACTGATGAGCAGCTGGTGACAAAGTCAACTGAATTGATCAGTAAATGTAAGATTTAGCTTTATTTTTAGAGCCTTATGTCAGTCAATAATGGAATTAATATGAGAATCAATAAAAAATTGAATAAGAAAAATCAATCCTAACATTGGGCCTCATTCACCAACCATTCTTAACAGGAGATTTCTTCTTAAAACCCACTTACACACTACACACTTTTGTTTTATGCTTTGGAATTTGTTCTTGGTTAAGAACAGAATCTACGCACACTGAAGAGCACTCTTACGCACATTCAAGTGCTGACATATTTGAGCAAAACAAGTGGTTATCGCATTGTCTTCTGTTCTCTAGTTGTGTAATAATATATAATTTAAATTACAATAATATTTTTGTAATTTATAATATTTTTCAATAACTTGTTTTTCAAATAATTATGGTCTTTCAAAATAAATAGGAATGCTACACTGCACTTCAAATTATATCAATCATGTTGATTGGGAACCATACACCATCCATTAGTCAGTGATTGTCACCCTATTAATTGGCCAAAAAGAAGGACTTATGCACTCTGCTCACACAATGGCATATTTACTGCTGCTGCAGAGATATTGCAGATGGTGCCCTATGGAGAGAACAAATTTTCCATGACCATATAGATGTATTTGCAGAGAGTGACAAATTTTTATTGGGAACTTTTAGGCTACCCAGAGCTGTCCTCATGGACCTTTGTGATCATTTGGAGCCAGCACTTCAGAGCCATACAAGACAGTCTAACCCTGTGAAGGTACTCTCCACCTTGGGTTTTTTGGCCACCCAGACCTTACAGCTGGAGCTGGGAGACAAGGTGGGCATATCACAGCCATCCATCAGCCGCGCTCTGCTGCGAGTAAAGGATGGGATAATTAAAATAGCCACACAATTCATAAAATTCCCATATGCGGCTGAGGATCAAGTCCCAGTCAAGAAAGGTAGACCAGCAATGGAATGAAAACCTAACACCATCGGCGAAATAGACTGCATGCAGTGCGCAATGAGGCACCCTCTCCAGATCCATACCCATACCTCAACTGCAAGCAATATCACTCTATTAATGTCCAACTCATCTGCAACTCTCAGAACCACCTCCTGAATGTGGTCTCCCACTTCCCAGGAGCACACGACTCCTTCATCCTACAAAACAGCTCAGTTGGTATCCGCCTGGAACAAGAAGGTGCTGGTGATGCATGGCTCATTAGTACCCACAGTTGAATAATTATAATTTTCCACAACAGTGTCCTTCTATTCTTATAATGCCTCGTTTCATTAGGAGATTGAGGATATGCCCTGGCCCCCTGGTTAATAACGCCACTGACCAACCCTCAGACTCGCGAGGTTTCATTCAACCAGACACACACACACACACACACACACACACACACACACACACACCACCACACACACACACCACACGGCATCACACAAAAAAAAAAAGAAATGCTTAAAAAAAAATGCTGGATGTGTTTGGACACAATACCACTACTCAATCTGCTGCAGCTGTGTGGCTGAAGCTGAGCAGGTGTGGGCTTGGTTAGTACTTGGATGGGAGACCACCTGGGAAAACCACATTGTTGCTGGAAGAGGTGTTGGTGGGCCAGTAGGTTGCAATATTCCCTCTGGTGGAATAATCCCCAATGCCCCGGTGCAGTGATGGGGACACTGTACTGACGGAGATGGTGTCTTTCGGATGAGACGTTAAACCGATAATCTGACTCACTGTGGTCGTTAAAGATCCTATGACACTCTTAGATAAGAGTAAGGGGTCCCCCGTGTTCTTGACTAAATTCCCAACCTGGCTCTTTCAACTTGCCACCAAATCATACCCTGATCTAATTGGCTATGCAACTTGTCCTCTCCCTTTCCCCCTCAACCCCCCAGGGCTCCCTTGAAAAAGAGATTTCAATCTACATTGAAATTATGTAATAATGTAAAATGAAAAAAGTTAAATGAAATAATAATAATGAAAACACAGCAGGTGGAAAGTTGCTCTACAAACACTATAGAGAGCACAGACTAACTCAGGCCAATTTTATTTTCTAATCTTTGGCGTTCATTTCATCATGATAAGCTTGTAGGATAATCATGGCCTGCTGTGTATTGCACAACCTCAAAATGAAGCATGCTGTACCATTTCCCCCTCAGCCACCAAAAGAGGATGTGCATCCTGACGCGCTCCTGGGACCGGAAAGTCTGACAGTAATTAATTGCTCATTTGTAAATAAAGCTGCTTTTTTAAATTAAAATAAATTTTGGCATGATTTTTTTCCGCTTACAATTAACCAAGACAAATGCACCACTTAATTCTATAATAAACAGGTTTCAGCATCTTTAGTTTTTAATTTTGAATTAATTTCCATTAAGTGCATCTGAAATTGTGGCAAGCCTTGAGGTGGTCTGTCAGCGTTTCAGCAATTCTTTCCTGATATGTCAAGGACTTCTGAGATTTGTGGAGCAGAATGGGACCTGGGAGTACGCATTGAGGTACTGACTGCACTTGGTGGGACTACAAGTTGCACCTCAGAGGGTGGTTGGCTCAGGACTTCATCTGTAGAGAATTGATCATTAAAACACAGTACGTAGTGACCTTTCTGCGATTGTTAAATAGGCCCAAATGTCTTAATTTCGAATACAAGCATGTATTCTTATAAAACACAATGTTGAACGTCAGACCTGCCTTTGGGACACTCTCATTATAAACAAGACGGGCGGCACGGTGGCGTAGTGGTTAGCACTGTCGCCTCACAGCAAGAAGGTTGTGGGTTCTAATCCGGCCTGGGGCCTTTCTGTGCTGAGTTTGCATGTTCTCCCTGTGTTCCCGTGGGTTTCCTCCGGTACTCCAGTTTCCCCCACCCACAAAAACATGCATCCTAGGAACACTCCTACCAGTACCCCTGACCAAGGAACTGGCTTTAAAGTGGAGTTGATCCCCGGGCACTGCTCTGTGGCTGCCCACTGCTCCTAACTATAGGATGGGTCAAATGCAGAGGACAAATTACCCCACGGGGTTCAATAAAGTGTATATCTTATCTAAGATATCTCGGTCGCCGCAGGGATGGAGTCGTGTATCTCCCCAATCCCCATGAGAGATCACTGGCAAATTTTTACATGACATTAAAATGCATCCCTGTACACGTATATGTGTGTTATATATGTAAATGTGCCTCAAAATGAGCAGAAAACACAAAATCTGCAAAAAAAATTTTTGACAATGGATGTTGGAAATCGCCGAGAATTGATCTTGAGCGTTGCCAAATAAACATCTTTGACTATGCAAATTTAGAGAAAAATCCTATAAACTTTGAAGCCTCCAGAGTCTGGAACAGAAAATCTCTGCGGCGGCCCCGGAACTAAACCACAGTATCTCCCAACTATCGTCGTCGGGGAGATACAATCATACTATCAGAGAAAAATAGCTTACCCTCCGATTTCTCTTGGATAGGAGATGGACAAGGAGGAGATGAAGGCGCTAACTCGGGGTCCAGATCTGCGTCCTGACATTCAGCTGATGCCACACCTGCTAGTGCCGTCTCTCCGATGATGAATCCAATGTACTGGTCCAGCTCAGACAATTCTTTGCCTGCTGTCCCCACTCTAGTGCTGTGCATTTCTCGTCTGAATTCTGCAATGGTTTTTTTTATTTATTTTTTTCGTGTCAGATTTCACGTCAAACCACTTCTTTTTAACCTCATCCGTTGTGCACCCCTCTGCAGATACAGCATTCACAAAAAGGGTAACTTCATCCAATGTGTCTTTTTTGTGTGTGATTTTATATCCAGACATCACTAAATATCACCATTTGTTTGCAGTTCTGTAGCAGTACTTCCAACTCAGACCTGCTAAAGTTCTTTTTGCGTTTTGACTCTGGTGCTCCGTTTTTAGATTTCCGTTTTGGCATTTCATTAACCCTTTAAGGCCCAATGCAAAAATCCCAGCAGATAGTAACCTGTATTTGGGCTGAAGCACAGCTTCTCAGCTTTCAGGAACAGTTGGAATTTTTTTTCTATTGCGCAGAACTTACAGTAATTACGGTACTTTCAAAATTACGCGCATATCTGTGTCGGCAACGACACGTTCTTGAAATGCGCACATGCTGTCCAGGTTTAAATGGGTTAACTTTCCCTTAAGGAATCTCTTTGTGACTTCTGTCTGGGTCTGCACACAGCCCTTCTGTATCATGCCCTTTTAAGGGCATTTGTGGACATTTACTTATGCTAATTAGGGACAACTGGCATGCACTTTCAATTTACAAGGAGAATGGCATTCATCAATCTGAGCACACAAGTGCAAACTTTTCTGCGGGCTAAACACACATTCTGGAATCTGACGCGGGGTTTTCTTAAGAACTTTCTTAGGAACAATTTAAGAAGGAATTTAAGCAAATACTTAGGAGGACATTGGTGAGTGAGGCTTCTTGATATCAATTAAATCTCCTCAATTCCCATCCCAATGCAAAGCGGTTTTTATTCCAGGACTTATCTTAATATCGGTCAGTGAATTTGGTCCAAAGTCTTTTACAACCTTAAGTCCAACTAAGCTGGCACATCATGGAAGGTGCAAATAAAAAAGGATTGATTTGAATAGTCCATTTGCCTTCTTCTATATTGAAAACAATGCAACACATTATTTCATGCCCTAAAGTAAATTTGTTTACAGAAAATATGCAATCTAATGACAGCAGCAGAGTCCTGTTAGCACTATTGACTGTATCACTTTCCAACATTATCAAGTCTTTTAATCAGTGTTTGGACACTGAAGACAAGTGTTGGTAAAGTCTACCAAGAGTAATATTCCCCCATTATCCAGGTCTTCAGCTGTGCAATTGTGCAGGGCCATCGTTGCTCCATGTTTTGCTTCATGATGCGCCACATATTCTCAATCAGACAGATCAGGACTGCAGGCAGGCCAATCCATCACCCACACTCTGCTTACACAGCCGTACGCTTGTGATCCACGGAAAATATGGTTTGGCAGAGCACTGAGGTGCCGATATCACACTGGTGTCTGAAGTAAAAGTTCCCATTCCTTTTACCCATAGTTTTTTAAATGTTCACTTTTGACGCACTCCTTGTTGTTTTCAACCCTCCATCGATTTTGTGTCATATTTCCGAGTAACAACAAATGCTATGACATGCAACATAAATCTGGTAGATGGCATGGTACAATCACCCCCGATACACTACTCTTGAACCTCTATCACTGGAATCTAGAAACTGATTCCATAACCATATTCAATGCTGCTTACTATCTTTATCCACCTCTCCTATTATCATGGAAAAAGATGGAGTCTCAAATATTTTCATCATAGGTCACCTTTTTGAGCAAGAAACAAACAAAATAACACTGGCAATATAACAGTCTTCTTCTTTCTCTTTATTTGAAATGCATTCCTTTGCCTCAGTACAAGCACACAAGGCATCGAAGGCAGTAATCGGTAGCCAGTGCACATGCTGAACTTTTGTCATGTCTATTTGTAGGCCTGGAGTGGGTAGATTGGCTGCAACTAGAAACTAATGTTAACAATAAATTATGGCACCGCACTACAAGATTCAAAAGCCCTTGTGTAGTTTCTGGGTACACTGCACGGTCGAAACGTTGCTGGTTAGATCCTGTGCATTGTAACTGCATGGTATTTCCATCCAGAATTTCCACCTTGCTGGTTCCATGCCTGCTTCTTCTAACTTTATACCATTTTTCTTACCTGCAGGTACTGTATACCCCCAAGCATCATGTGCTTTTCTGACATCTTTAGGTCAAATCTTTGCCTCAGGAAATCAACTTCAATCATTTCAGAAGCTGCAAAGGACTCTTTATAGAAAAGGGCATGAGAATCCTTGCGGAACTCAACTTCACAAATTTTATTCAGAGGGGGAAGAGGGGCACTCTAAGATTTTGTGTTCCTTATCCTGACTCCATGCTAAAATGCATAAAAATCAGTGAAGTGCATTTTCACTGGTGTAATGTTTTTGCCAGCTTTATTGCAGAGATCAGCAAAATCAAAGGTATGAAGCTTGTGTACCTTCCGTAGCTTTGTTCCAACTACACCATGGACATTATCCTCTCTCATGTGTGTGTGCCCTCTTTCCAAATACTTGATGCGAATGGTATCTGGTCCCCATTCACCATTTACACATGCAGCAAGAGCTGTGTAATGGGTCCAATTCTTGTTCTTGCCACAGCAGTTATCTGCCCGAAACAGAATCTTCTTCCTTTCACACAGTTCTGTGCATTTGATGTACGCTGAGGCAACATCACTTTACTATTAAAGGCTTTTTGGTATTCGAGTGCTCCAGTTTTTTCTCCTTTTCCATTAATTTATTGTCCGAGATTTAGAAGCACCGGATCTAAGCCTTCACCGGCAGATGCGCGAGGATTCTTCACTTACAGCAACATCACTGGCGTTCCTACCAGAAATACCTTCACGCCAAAGTATTACATAATCAGGTTCATTTGGAAGCATACTCGCCAAGGTCTCATTAAAGACGACAAGCCAGTTGACGAAGAAATGATTCTTGGTCACCATTCTGGGGAGAAGGATCACCTTCTGCATATCGCATGCAAAGGCATACACATCTTCGTCAACCGGCCTCTGATACTCATGTCTAGACTTGATTGCCTGTTTCAATGAGAGTCTGCGGCAGAACAAGTGTCATAGTTGTCCTTGTCGTGGTTTTCCACGAAGCTACCAGTCACAGCCTTCTTATGCATTTTGAACCCTTCGCAAACATCACATTCATCTTGAGGTGGTTGGCTGAAGGTGATATTCTCTTCTTTGAATATCTGCCAGTCCTTTTAGTGGCTAATCTCTTCCACCATTGCCTTTCAAGTCATTCCACGTCTCTGAAATAAGACTTCTCCAGAGTTTAGGATGTTTTACATTCTGTCACTCTCCTCATTGCATTTTGCTTCAACATACCCCGTTATCATACCATCTGTTTTCAGCCCCAGCGTATGCAGAAACATTATCTTGCAAACCGTTTGTGATAGGCCATTCTGCATTGGGAGGGAGTAGACTAATGACCAATCCCGTTGTTTCATATCATCTGCCTGTACTTTTCTTCTCTTCACTGGTACGATAGCAATGTTACTGCCAAACCATCCTCGGCGTCCTTCAAACGAAAGTGTCCAAAACGTCTCATTTATGTTTTTTCGTTCTTCCTCGGAAACCCTCTCGGCACATTTGCGTCTGCACTTGTCACTGCATGGACCTAACAGGGGGTATTTCTCCTGATTGTAGCATCTCTTCTCTTCCTCGGTACGGCGTCTTTTCCTATAATAGCAAAAACCTTTAACTTACCATGTTATCATCCAAAACAGTCTGGAGTTTGTTAGTTTGGTTTCTATCCATGCAGTACATTACAGAACTTACTTAGCAATACGTGTTGGTGGGCTATTGGTTTCCTGGTCATCCCGGGCATCAAGCAATAGGCTATTTCCATCTGCCTGGTCAGCAGGCTCAGCGGCTTGATTCTCGGCAGCAGTAAACACATGCCCATTTTCTGAAAAAAGAATTCTCCAGAGTTTAGAATGTTTTTCATTCAGTCTGAAAAAAGAAGGACAAATTACCTGAATACACAGATTTCTCATTCCAAAAGTAACAAAGACGTTCTTAAATCCTGGAATATATGCCTTGAACATACCTGATATAGTGAGGTAGGAGTCCAGGTATCGTCGGTTTGGTGCATGTTCTCGCGTATACTGGCTTAATTGCCAGTAGTACCAGCTGATGTGCTGTCTTATATGATCTGCATCAACCTTGTTCACAGGAACTCTCCTCCCACGA